ATGATTTACATCCTCCCACCGCTCTATTGGGCCGGAGTGTGGGGGCCCTTGGGGTTGGGGTTCAACAATAACAATATTTTTTTATACGAAAAAACAAGTAGCAAAACGCAAAATGGGGAGAAAAAAAAAAAATCCAACGAGAAATGTGGTTAGATCCAAGGGTGCAGGCGTCCAGCTACATGTGCGATTGTGTGAACACCATTCATTATAAATGCGGCGAAACTGTACCGCTTTTAATATAAGTGAACATTTTTTTTTTTTTTTTTAAATGTAGTTATTTCTTTTTGTCCACAATCCTTATCTTGTTATTTACCTACAAAAAAATAAAATTTTCTCGCTCCACTCAACATTCTAACTCGGTGATTTAGTGATTTATTAGGTGGAATTTGGAAAATCAGTGTCTGACACCCACGATAACCCCACCACATTTGGTGTATTTCAAACACTGCAATTATTCGAGCTCAATTTTATGTCATTTTTCACAATCTATCATTCAGAAACTAATTATGTTACTGATTTTGAATGACATGGGTGACTCAAACCAATAAAGTCTAGTCGTTGATTGCAGATCACTCATTAGCTCGTTCCCCACGTTTCAATCTCGTTCACATGCTCCGGGAAGGCAATTAGTGTGCTGATTTCTTAGCCAACCTTGGGCAAAGTTCGCCATTGAGTACTTCTGTTCTTACTCAGTCTCCAGACGGGCTTCTTCAGTTGCTGGTTCGATATGCTAACAGTGTTGCCACACGCAGGATACGTTAATCCCCGAAGGGGCCTTTGGTCCCGTTCTTCTACAAAAAAAAAAGTCAATAAGAAATTTTTATGAATAATCAAATTAAAAATCTTATGAATATCAAATTAATAGTTTAACTAACTTAACTAAGGTTCCATTATATAATATTCCCTCTGTCCCATTTTGCCTGTCCTGTTTACTATTCATTGGTCAATCCAACTCTTTCTTCATTGTTTATTTTCTTTAGTAATTTTTAATTATTTTTAAATTTGATTTTTTATGTTTAATAGTACTTTTAATGTAGTTTCTAAATATATAAATTTTATATACTAAAAATAAATTTAATATTATGAAAAATTGAAGTAAAAATAGCTTCAGTCAAGCCTCGTTAACCGAACCAGACAAACAAAATGGGACGGAGGTAGTATTAAACTCATATAATGTAGTTTGATGAAATTATAAATTATCATTTTAAAGTGCAAAGAGAAAAGTGTGCAATAATTTTACAAAACACAAAATATTTTTACAATATCATTGTATTTCATTATATTGTTATTATTATTGACAAAGTCAAAATAAATATCCGGGCAAGTTCCCATTTAATTTGGTCGAATTCAATTAGCGCCCGGTGGTAGCTAGGCGTTGAACCAGCCATGGCCGCCCTATTGAATTATTATTTTTAAATTATAGATTTTAGAACATGATAATTGATTCCTTCAAAAAAAAAAAACATTATAACTGATTGCAGTTGTGTACATCTCTACGAAGATTTTGTGTAACAAATGTTGGAAAAATTAATTTAAAATGGCATATTAAGTGGCTATTTTGTGGTACAATTATCAATGGGGTCCACTTTCGATTTGGGTCGGGTCAAAGTGGATTCGGATTCTTCGTAGTAAGACGAAGAGATTGATATATTGTACGCTCAAAACGGATAATGGGTGAATGAGATATTGATACTCAAAGTAGACCCATTTAAGTTGGGAAATGAAGGGAAAATGTAGGACTTTGTCCCACATTGGTTTGGAAACAAGATTTGCCCCCCTTATATACATGAGCTCTTTTCAAGCTTGTAGAATTGTATAGTATAGAGGCTCTCTCGCGCGGGGGGGTGCAAATCAAAATCTCTCGTGTGAACCTGCACCCCAACACTCATCTGTTACGGAATTCTGAGTTTAATCCTACTTAGTGGTGACCGTTACAGGTGTTAATTCCAATTTTTAAATTCTGAGTTTAATCCTACTTAGTGGTGACCGTTACAGGTGTTACACAATTGGTTTTAACACCAATTTAAAGAGAGGTAGAAGCAGTAGCATTTTACATATAGTACAAAAACGAAAGGAATTCCAGTAGCTTTCAGTTTCCCAAAACTCTGCTTCTACTCTCTTCTTTACCAACTAGTGTTCTCTACTTTGCTTTGTTTGCCGGGTTCCTCGTTTAGGTGCTTAAACAAGGAATCGTAGCACGTTTTATCCTGGGAAACCTAGGCTACAACGCTCCTAGCACTTGTGGGAGGTAGCAAATAAGGTTTTAAGGAAAAGAACCTTGTGTTCGAACTCGTGCTAAACCTATACCCAAACACTCAACCTTTTCCTTCCCAATTTTCTGTTTTCTCATATAATATTAATCTTTCCGTAAGATTATTATTATTTTTGAGATTTTACAACCATATTACCCAACAACAAATTTAATCAGAAAAATAATAATAAGATTTAAACGTGTAACTTTCTAATATAAGAATTATTCTTTATTTATTTGATAATATTTTTGAAGTAACGATATATATATTTTATTTAACTGACTAACTTATGATTAAAATGTAAAATCACTTTTTTTTTTTTTTTTTTTTTTTTTTTTTTTTTTTTTTTTGTAACGTGCACGAACACACACACTAATATGTGGTGGGGCTAGGCTAATCATGCATGGCTAACAAAATATACTTTCTCTATCTTATTTTATATATCTAATTTAGTTAATTATGTTTAAATGAAATTATTTTTAATTAAATATTTCATAATATTAAGTTTAGTATTAATATACAAAATTTATTTATTTAGAAAGAAGCATACAAGATATCTTTACATTATTCCTCACAAACTTGCCACCTGCAAGTTTTAATTGGTTGAGATTTAAAATAAAAAAAGAAAAAATAAGGAAAATAAATCTATTACAACTTATCACATCAGGAAATGGCAAGTTTCTGAGTGGCATATGTAGGGTAGTAAGGGTAAATAGCATTTTCCAATTAGAAATTACATTAAAAGTACTACTCCTTCCGTCCCATTTTATGTGTCTAGTTCAGTTAACGAGGTTTAACTTAAGTTATTTATATTTTATAATATAATTTTTCATAATATTAAGTTTAGTAGTAGTTTACAAAATTTATATATTTAGAAAATGCACTAGGAAAATACTATTAAACATAAAAAATCAAATTTAAAAATAAGTAACAAATACTAAATAAAATAAACAAAGAAGAAAGAGTTGATTTGACTAATGAATAGTAAGTATAACAGATAAAATGAGACATATGTAGTATTAAAAAAAAACAAAAATAAGAAAAAACAAAGAAAACATAATTTGTTTGACTAATGAATAATAAACATGTAAGGTAAAATGTCATCGATAGATGAAATATTTTATAAGAAAAATAAGAATAAATTACGGAGCATATAGTTATGTGACGATGAAAACTCACCGTCACTATTTGATGGTACATTGAGTAAGCCTTTTTTTTTTTTTTTTGGCGGGGGGGGGGGGGGGGGGGGGGGGGGGGTAATAGTTTGCAAGTCATATATGAGTAGTAAATAGCACTAGAAAAAAGTTTGTGTGACGGGCTCAACTAGAGAGTATTGATAAAAATAAAACCCATGACTTTATGGTATGATATTCACATTTCACTTACTTAACCACATTTTTTAGGGTAAAAAATTATATAGTTGTAAAGAATGACATCGGCAAATTATACAATGGATCAGAGTTTGCCTTACATTGTCAACCCTGATAAAAAATAACCTTCAGATTATGTACTTGCATATGTCACATTATATATTTGTAGTTAATTATTTATGTACCTGTAAATAAATTGAAGGCACATCACACAATAATTACATACACATAAGATATTAACTACAGACACATAAACTATTAACTGTAGATACATAATATGTTAATTGTAGACACATAACATGTTAACCAACATCTTATGTGTCTACAGTTAACAAATTTTGTATATACAATTAACAATTTATGTGTCCATAGTTATCATGTTTAGTAGGGTGATACGAAGTATTTTGATATGGATTTTTTAAATTTGTTTTGCATGTTCATTTATAGTATATATACTGTTTTAAAATGAACATACACACACAAAAAAAACATACAGTATATTAAAAACAAATTTGTATATGTAATTCTTCTTACAATGTAAACTATGATTCATGGTATAATTTGTACTGTAAGAAATTCACACTCTTTTTAAGTGGAATGATCCGTAGGGCAAATTATATTGTGGACCATAAATAAATGTTGATTTTTAAATTAGAGTTGAGTTATTGTTAGACTTTATATGAAATAATTTTTTCAATACGTCAATTTAAGTTGCGTTGAGTTATTGTTAGACTTTTTATGAAATAATTTTTTCAATACGTTGATGGTTCCGGCGAACGAATAATCATGGAGTCCTCCTCTTTCCGGGCATATTCAGGATTCCAAGAGAGACTGGGTCTGGTTTTTTGACCCGATCGCTTCAACTAGCGGAGACTCTTGGAACAGCTGGAATAAGAAGTCCCCAAGTTAGCGTATTATGGGGGACCGTCAAGCACATCCGGCACTTCTAGGCCCCTTCCCGGCTACTGGATCACTCCAGTGCTTCGGGCCTCAAACGGGGCCCCCGGGAGGCCAGTTGGAGGCAGCAGAAACCGCATCGAAAAAGTGTCTTTGCCTTCTTGCCGCTTGCTGACTTATTGCATTTTTCTTGATTACTTAAAAAATAATTGAGCTCCTCATACTTAACAACAACTCATTTGTATAAAATGTATCAATTGAAACACAAATTAATGCCAAAGATTTAGCCAAATGAACATTATAGTTTATAGCCAATGTATATGTAATAATGAAGTCATGATAACACTAAACAAATCCAAAATAAGAAATATTGGGTTGCATTCTGGGTTGTGAGTATTGGCCCATATGTTTAATTACTTCCGAGATGGACCTGAAATTCTCAATCGGGCCCAAATAGCAAACAGTCGTCTGTTTCAGGGAAGAAAGCTTGGGAAAAAAGCATACGAAGAAGAAATAGAAGGAGGCTAAGCTGAACCGAGTCGACTCACTCAATTCTGAAAATCCAGTGCTCTGCAATTCATCAGGTTTCTCTCTGAATCTCTTTATGTCTCTATACTTGAACGCTTGTTTCTGTTAAAATTATTTATGCCTGATGTTCGTTTTTATAGTGATTGATTTGCTGAAAACTCGATCTTTCAATTTAGTGTACCAGCAAAATTTGCTAGATTTTGAATGTAAAGGTGAACAGAACCGTGTCGTCTGACTACTGACTTGGGAGATTAGAATTTGAAAGAAATATACTATTCTTTTATAAATTTCTTTTGGCGATATGATAATCTTAAAGCGGTGTAAATAGGTGATAGGCTCATTTGGAGTTAATGAACTAAGTGGAAAAATGGTAGACAATACACCAGAAGAGTATAAGGGGATTGAAGGAGTCCTTTATGTTCTTATGATTTTCACATTTTTTGTGGTTTAAATTAGAGATTCGTAGGGTTGGAAAAGATTGAATGTGTTTGCTAAATATACACAAGAGAATTAAAATAGTTAAATTAACTTTATAATTAATCATCTGAGAATGATATAGATGATATTGCCATATTGTGAGGGAATGCTTATGTACCTGCACTGTGTAACTCATCTTGTCAATGTAAGTTTTGATGGATTAAATTTATGCAATGTGGTTGTCCTGTTGAGAATTAAATCAATTAATTTCAGTAAAACTGTGGGAATTTATTTTTGCAGCCTTTATGTTTGCTAAATCCTAATTACCATTCAAATTTTATGTATTATAAGTACTGTTGTCAAAAGGAGTTGATTGTTAGTTAATAGACATTTGGGTTTGTAAAAGTTTAGAAGTTTCATAGGTGATGTTTGTCGGTTTTTAAAGCACATATCTTTTGAGCATTTCAAACCATTTAAGTTATAATTCAGAATTGTTTTACTGTACTGTTACTATTCTCATAGATGACAAGACCCATTGACAATTAGTCTTTCTGCTGAAGTTGTTAAGTTCGTTTGTTGCAGAATTCACAATGTCGCGAAGGTATGATAGCCGTACAACTATCTTCTCTCCTGAAGGTCGTCTGTACCAGGTTGAGTATGCAATGGAGGCAATTGGAAATGCTGGCAGTGCCATAGGCATATTATCTAAAGATGGAGTTGTGTTGGTTGGTGAAAAGAAGGTCACTTCCAAGCTTCTTCAGACATCAACATCTACCGAGAAGATGTACAAGATTGATGACCATGTGGCATGTGCTGTCGCAGGAATAATGTCTGATGCCAACATTCTTATTAACACTGCTAGGGTCCAGGCTCAACGATATACTTACGCTTACCAAGAACCAATGCCGGTAGAACAGCTAGTTCAGTCTCTATGTGACACTAAACAAGGCTACACACAGTTCGGTGGACTCCGTCCGTTTGGAGTTTCTTTTCTCTTTGCAGGATGGGATAAGAACTATGGCTTCCAGCTCTACATGAGTGACCCGAGCGGAAACTATGGAGGATGGAAGGCTGCAGCAATCGGAGCAAACAATCAAGCTGCACAATCAATGCTAAAGCAGGACTACAAGGATGAGATCACAAGGGAGGAGGCTGTTCAGCTTGCTCTCAAGGTGCTTAGCAAGACAATGGATAGCACAAGTCTTACTTCAGAGAAGCTCGAACTGGCCGAGGTATTCCTCTCTAATGGAAAAGTTAAGTACCTAGTGCACTCACCCGAGTCCCTGAATAAATTGCTTGCCAAGCTTGGATTGACCCAACCCACCGTGGAGACCTAAAACCACTTCATATGATTTTAACTCTCTTCTCAGACCATGCTTGTACTTCTTTTGAAACTCGGGATTGTTCAATATAATGGTGAATTAGGTACTGTTCAATTATGTTTCGGAACTTGTTTGGTCATGTGGATTATCCCAGCAATACTGCTGTTCAATTTCCTTTGTTGCCTCTTATCTATGTTGTCATATCATATATGCTAGATTATGAAGTTTTCTTACAATCTGTTGCTATAATCACATACAATCATACAGTGATTGCTGTTTAGACTAATCAGAATGAGAAGTTGAAATGGAACAAATATTTATCAAGTGTTTAGAACTCCCAGGATGACAGCACTTTAGTTTGCCTGTTCATGCGCTGAGGGATGAACACATTGAAGTAATCATCAATAATAATGCTATTTTTGGATTTGCATGCATGTTTCAAAAAGTTGTTAATGTTTGGAAGTGGTTTGGTTTTCATTAGTGACTCAAGGATCTCTTCTTCCTTCATTGTTCACTACTCTTTCTGTGAAACACAAAATAGATTCAATATTTAATATCTGAACTGGAAACAAATTTGATTTTATATATATATTATATAAGTTATAACTTTGATTTATGGGAAAGTCTGTAGTCACTATCTCAAGGTTGTCTTGTGACCTTAGTGGCAAGCAACCAAATCAGTCTAGGTTGCCGAATATAGAACATTATGATTATAAGTCAACTGTCCGACTAACTTGATTAGAGTTGCCCATTATATATAAACTTGCCTATTAGAGTGCAGTTGAGTTGGTATCTAATTTTATCCGCTCTATTGCCGCTCATATGAGATAGAAAAAATGTTTTTTTACTCTCCTGATGTGACTTTCATTTGTTAAGAGTGCCATTAAAAAAATATAAAATATAAGAGGGCTATGTATAACTCGATAGATATCCACAGTAATATAAAATAAGAAGTGTACAATATATCTTTTTAAGGTTTCCACTTTCCACGTTCGATTTTTACGTTCGAACATAGTGACTAATTCCATTGCTGAATTGTATGTATCTCTATTAGGTGGAACAACTGACCTGGAAATTTAAGGCTACTCTACACCTAAAGTTAAGGATCGAAACGTCACTCTCTATTAGGTGGAACAACTGACCTGGAAATTTAAGGCTACTCTACACCTAAAGTTAAGGATCGAAACCTTGACGTTTAGTTAATGATGGATGAGTCCCACTCACTCAACAATACCCAATAAGTTAGTGTACAATATATCTTGATTTTGTGGGAGGAAGAAAAAAAAAATGAATCTTTCATTTTTATCATCAAGACGTACCACATCCGATATAAAGTGTGTGTGGGGTAAATATAGTATTCGTAAAACTCAATTAATTACTAATTAGGGCATTTTCGAAAAATATTTGAAAACAATAAGGATCTAATTATTATTGCTAGAAACATAAGGGTGTTCAATTGAAATCTTCCCAGAATTACAGTACTTTAAATCCTGAACATGCCGGGAATCTAACACAGAAAATCCGACCTCATGGTCCAGTTGCCGGAGAAGCTCTCCCCGAAAGCTCTCTTAAAACTCCTAAAGTCTGAGAAGAACCCTAACTCGGCACTCGCCCTCTTCGATATAGCGAGTCAGCATCCGGGTTATGCTCACAATGACGCCGTCTTTAATTACATCCTCCGCCGTCTCTCCTCCGACCGAAGATTTGCTATCCACATTACTCGAATCACCGACATGATTCGGACCCAGAAATGCCCGTGGTCAGAGGATTTAGCGCTCACCGTTATCAAAGCATACTCGAAAAACTCCATGGTGGATAAAGCGGTAGAGGTTTTTCAAAATATGAAGGCGATTTTCGGGTGTCAACCTGGGGTCAGGTCTTACAATAGTATGTTCAACGCTTTTGTGGTTTCGAATCAGTTGGGCAAAGCAGAGTTGTTTTTTAGACACTTTGAGACAATGCGGGTTTCACCCAACTCTGAAACCTACAATATTTTGATTACAGTTGCGTGCAAGAGGCGGAAGTTTTTCCAGGCAAAAGAGATCTTAAATTTGATGTGGGAGAGGAACTTGAAGCCTGATGTGTATAGTTATGGGACTTTGATCAATGGGCTTGTAAAGAATGGTGATTTGAATGATGCCTTAGAGGTGTTCGATGAAATGTTTAGTAGGGGAGTGACACCAGATGCCATGTGTTATAATATTTTAATGGATGGACTTTTCAAAGAAGGTGATTCGAGAGGTGCCAAAAAGATATGGGATAGGTTATTGCAAAGTGAGTCTTCATATCCAAATGTGGTTAGCTATAATGTAATGATCAGTGGGTTGTCTAGGTGCGGGAGGTTTAGTGAGGCGTTCGAACTATGGGATAGGATGAAGAAAAACAAGGTAAAAATGGATGTCTTTACATATAGCTCATTAATTCATGGGTTGTGTGAGTCAGGGAATATCAATGGGGCCGAGAGGCTTTATAAGGAGATGACTGAGAGTGGGATATTACCAGATGTTGTGATATATAATGCATTGCTTAATGGGTACTGCAAGTTTAAGAAGATTAAACATTGTTTTGAGTTGTGGGAGTTAATGGCAAGGGAAGATTGTCGAAATGTTTCTAGTTATAATATATTTATGAAAGGGTTGTTTGAGAATGGAATGGTGGAGGAAGCAATTGCTGTTTTGGAGCTCTTTAAGGAGAATGGGTATGTTGCTGACTCTATGACATATGGAATTTTGGTTCATGGGCTTTGCAAAAATTCAAATGTGAACATGGCACTACAGGTGTTAAAGGAGGCTGATGACAGTAGAGGAGAGCCAGATGCTTATCTATATTCGGCTATCATTAAGGGGTTATGCACAGAAGGAAGACTGTGTGAAGCAGCTGCTATTATCGATCATATGGGAAAAAGTGGCAGTAAAGTAAATCCCGCTGTTTGCAATGCACTAATTAGTGGCTTTATCCAAGGTAATAAGATTGAGGACGCATTGAGATTTTTTGGTGAACTAGGCAATAAAAATTGCTTAACCAATGTAGTGACCTATAACATCCTTGTTCATGGTCTATGCAATGCTGAAAAATTTGGTGAAGCCTATGACATTGTTAAGGATATGCTTCAGAAAGGATGGAAGCCAGACATTATAACATATAGCTTGTTAATCAATGGTCTTTGCAAAACTGGCAAGTTAGACATGGCGTTGAACTTGTGGAATCAAGTTCTTAGCAGGGGTGTCAAGCCTGATACAACTATAGGTAATGTTATGATTCATGGGTTCTGCTCTGCTGGAAAACTTGAACAAGCATTGCATCTGTATCTTAACATGAGCCAGTGGAACTGTGTCCCCAATCTGGTTACTCTCAACACACTTATGGAGGGATTTTACAAAGCTAGGGACAGTCGAAATGCATCTGCAATTTGGGCTCGCATTCTCAGAGGTGGATTTCAGCCTGATATCATTTCTTACAATATTACTCTTAAAGGGCTTTCTTTTTGCAATAGGATATCAGATGCCAACTTGTTCTTGAATGATGCTCTGAGTAGGAATGTCTACCCAACTGTAATTACATGGAACATACTCGTCAGAGCTGTTATTTATGGTGAAATTCAATGTGATAATGTTGATTTATCAACCATGCAAAGTAAGTCTTCTTCTCCTAAACTTGTCTGTTTATTTGAGATTTATAGAACTACAGTTGGTTTGCCCATTTAAATTTCTTCTGGGTTTGTAGTACATGGGAACAACAATACATTGCATTGTTACTATTCTTCTTAACAGTTCATTGAGAGTGTCTATTTGTTCTATTATTCATGCTTGACAGTTTTTGTAACCATTAGGTGTTAATTTCAATTTTTTAGATTGTAATTGCGTTGTGCTTTGATATGTGGGCATAATGTGTGCATCCTGATATGTTGTATTAACAGAGTGTTGCTCCATTTCAAGTTATGCAAATGCTGCTCATCATGCATGGCTTTCCACCAGATACCTGCTTTTCTACAGAAGAATATTTTTAAAGTTTATATGATTTTGTGCTGCTGATATTGATTGGCTATAGTATTCTTTAGATCGTTGCTTTTAATGTGATGGCCTAACATGGTTGTCTAAATACTTTTGCAGTTTTAGAAAATCAAGGTCATGAAGTCAGTTCCCTCTAGATCCTCATCTTCAAGTTATATTCTATGGTACTCAACCTGACAACCTTTAATATATCTGGCATTCTGTTGGGGATGCATTATAATGTATGGCCTGTATCATAAATTACTTGTGCAGGAATCTAGGAATTCAAAGTAAAGATATGAAAGATGTTCCAGTTATCGAATTGTGCTTTTGATGCAAAGGGAATATTCTTTAAATAGGGTAAGGTACTGCTAGTTTTTTTTGATCCTAAAGTTTGGACTTGTTCTTATGGAACTGCTGGCAACTGAAAACTGTCATTGTTTTATTACATTATATGGAAGCTTCGGCTTCAAGGGATCTAACTATCTTTTTGTTCTAGACTTTTGGGTGGGAGTAGCGTTTCTACTTCTGGTTTTAGGTAGCAAACTAGGACTATCTATTTATCTAACATATTCATGCAAAAGATTTGCCAGAGTTGTGTATGCTATTAAGGTTGAACCTAATGTGCAAGGCTCCTGCATCATGCAGGGATGGAAGATATATGCAATCTTTTTTGTTAGAGAGAAAAAGGGCTTGAATTCTTGACTACCATCCGCTTGTGAGCACTTGGCAGTATACACATGACATATGTAAGCTACACAACAAATAGTACTTCGGTCAAATAATTAATATAAAGCTACATCATATGTAATATACATTTTTGAAAGTCAGATAATTAATATAAAGCATCGGTTATATCAATGGCTTTGGTAGCAGCAGTGGGCTTACCAAACACAATTGCTGATGCAAAAGAGAAGTGGCATGATGTATTAGCCTCAAGTAATATAAGATCTATTCTGGGGTTATGACTCATGCTATATACATATTTCACAAGAGAATTAGTATTTAAACCTCTTCATATGGAATAAAATGGATTTACTTTTTCTCTTCTCCAGATTTCTGTTTTCTAGTTATTTCTGTTTCTGTTTCTGATATCATTGTTTGTTCATAGACATACTGAGAAAGCAAGCCTACCAAAATTATCCCAAGAATTGTGGGTTTTTGCCAGCTGGAGGGTGAAGTGATCAATGCATCAACAATTCCAACTCCTACTATGCAGATTAGCGCCAGGTAAATATTTCTTCGAGTTTTTGACCCTGCACTCTCTCTACTAAGCTTCCCAATTTTCTCCATCTCTTCCTTAGCTTTTGCTTTGTCCACAGGTTTTCTTTGCATTAGATTCTTAAAGAACAACCCTTCGTTTCTATCCTTCTCTATTTGACCTTCAAAGTCTGCTAACTGCTTTTCATTCTCTTCAATCTCCTGCTTATTCATCTCTACTGATTCTTCAAAGGCTTGCATCTGGTTCTCGATATTTTCCATAATCTGCTCAACAAAACCAACAAAATTCAGAAATCAAGAGATGAAACATCCAGCGGTAAATCCCAGGATTTCTAAACAGTTGCTAGACACTAAGAAGTCAGACACAGACCCTTGCACCAGCTTCATCAAGCTCTTTGAGGGCATTTTCTCCTATCTGATTCATCTCGGCATTGGCTTCTTCAGCAAACTGGGTCAGATAGGCTGCTCTTTCGTCTAAATAGTCAGTCAGGCGAACTTTCTGGGTCTGAAGCATTGCAATTCTGGCAAGCAGTTCCTGATTACGCGCATCTCCTTCAGGAGGAGGAGGAGGAGGAGCATCTGAATCTGTAGAATCATTGGACTTGCAGAATGAGAGTATGGGGTTCTTCCTCTTGAAGTGGCCTCTTGTGGGAAGAAGAGGATGCTGGGTGAGAGTGAAAGAGGAATGTATTGCTTTGAGGTAAATCATTTTTTTTTTCTTTTTGTTTTTTCTACTTTGATTGATTTAGGTTTGGGGAAGAAAGATGGAGTAGTAGGGGAAGAAGAGTCTTCCTGCAGGTGTAAAATGGAAGTGTTCTGAACCTCTAACGACTTATCCATTTTGAGTTCTTGGAACTACTTTGTTCTTATCATTCAAATAAAAAGTGTCTTGCTTGTGGGCCCTCATGCTTATGTGTAATGTTTTTTGTTTTTTAGGTACCCATTTCATTTTTTAAAAATGGGAATATTTTAAAATGCTGCGTGCACGGCATTTTAACCTGTATATTAACATGCTTTACTTGTTTTTTTTTGAGAGTTGTACTTTAGGCTTAACGAACATACTCCATATATAAATAAGTAGAGCTCAAAATGACAAAAAGAGAGAGCCTATAAGAATAACATTATCCTGAAATTTCATCACTAGCAAAGTGACATGGAGTTTTCTTTTTTAATTTTTTCTTTTTTACTGCTTGTAATGTAAATCTTTGCAGTATGAAACCATTGCAAACTTACTAAACCATTGCAAATACATACAAATTAAATTTATTATACACTTACTCATTTAATAACTTTTTCATTTGTTTCTTGTACAATTATTTTTTATTTTCATTCATAGTTAATGTATTTAGTTGCATCAGCTCGATTAATAATACTCCGTATATTTTTCTCCCATTCTTCTTGTTGTTTCAACATTTTTTCTTGTCGTTTCATGTACTATTTCTTAAGATTTAACTTTAACATTTTCATAGTCAATTGCTAGTCAATTGTCTTGTATTTCCGATTTCGTTAATTGTATTGGTGATTGCTTTCTTTTTCTTTTCATCTTAGAAGAGTCACTTTCCATAGGATGAGTGGTAGACACTCCCACAAATGGGTTTTCACTTTGCTTGTGAAAATATTTTTTATAGTGATGATTTGTATTTCCCTAACTTGATATTTTTTGTTCTCTTTGAACCTCTATCTCTGGTAAAGTTAGCATCCACGGCCTTCACATCTTAGTTATGCTACTTCTATTCATTCCTTAGCACTTTCTAAGCATGTAAAAATATACAATTTTCTTTTCTCAATTTTGCGATATAATTGTTTTATTTTTATTTTTTTAATTAGCTTCATTTAAGCAACTTTCCTTATACAAAATTTGTTCATAACAACCAATGAACTTTGAAACTACATGAGTTAGTCTCCCCCAATGATTTTGCAATACATGTTTATTTCTTTTTGTTGGCTCAAGTTGGTGATGATACTAGTTATCAAATTCAACAATGCCGCATCAAAAGTTGTTACCACTTTTATCATTTCTAATTACTACATCTTTACTAATGTTGAGTCATATTCTATATAACAACAATTCATCCTCATTTATTCATCGACTTTTCAATATGCTTGGACGTGGTGTTTCTTTAAGTGTTTATATTTCTTGTGTTAGATATTCAAGAAATTCTAACAAAGGTAGATTACTTGCTGGTGTAGGGGGAGTAATCCCAATGGAGTAGAAATTGAATAGGTTGAGAAAACACCTCGATACATGCTAGGTAAGTAATGATAATTAAGAAAAGAGAATCTATTGACTTCATTAGTATTATTATGTGAAATTAAAATTGTGAGAAGTTGAAAAATGAATTGAATTGGTTGGTGTGAAGGATTCATTTTAAGTTACAACAACTATTGGCCAAGGTGGATGAAGTTAAAGAATGAATGAATCAATATAATTCATGAATGATCCATTATTTATAGGTAAAATACTTGTAGGAATTTTTATCAATGTTGCAAAAATCGCGCCTAGGCGCCATTGCGCCGCCGCGAAGAAGGCCAAAATCGGCAATCTCTGCGGCCGGCCGCCTAACCGGCCGGTCGGCGATTTTTTTTTTTAAATGTCGGAAAAGTTTCGGAAGGCATAACTTTTAAATCGCGTATTTTTTCGAGATCTATACACCGCAAACTGTCGAAGGCGGTTTGGTCCACTAATTTCTCAAAAAAATGCTTCTTTAGCTCTTAATTTTAGTTTTTTATATATTTAGATGGTTTAAACAATCTTTTGAACAATTTTACAACCACTTTTGTAAATAGTTTCTATGAAATAACTATGAAAACCTTATGTTTTAGTACTAAATTTTGAAAATTTTTAATTAAATTTTTTTTTAATTAAAAAAAAAATTAAAAAAAAAATCGGCGGCGCCTAGGCGCCCCCTTGGCGCCTAGGGGGCGCCTAACGTTTTTTGCAACATTTATTTTTATATAAAATGATTATTTTCTTTGGTAGATTCTTGTAGGGATTTCTTACGAGAATTTCTTAGTCAAAATAATTATATTCTCAGATTCTTGTAAAATTATTAGGCAAAATAATGATATTTCTTATGAAAATTTCTTAGACAAAATGATGATATTCTTTACCCATGTTATATATCACCTGTTATTTCTATCCATTAGTTCCTTCTACTTATCTCATTACTCATTCTTTCACATTCTAATTCCTTCTAGTATCATCCGGATTAAACATTAAGTGCATGCCTTCTTGTAAGTGTACCATTTGGCAACCAAAATGAACACCCCCAAATTCATCACACTCAGCACAGCCAACAGCCAGACAAAATAGTGCAGCTAGCCCACCATAGATCAAATTATGGGGTATCCACCCCGGACCACCCTTCCTAGTACTAATCTCCGTGACAACGTTAACCAGCATCGTACTCAGATAGTTCCCGCCGGGCGCCGTCGTCAGCGAAAGCGCCGAGCACCTAGAAGATGAGTGAATCCGTTGTTGTTCCGAGTCTTGGGTCCATTGTGTTGCCCTGTAACACGAATAGTGTCCCCATTTGAGTGTACAAACAGTTATCTACTGGTAAATTATACCAGGAATTAGAGTTTACTTTGAGTTGTAGATCATGGTCTAAAATCAGGTTCGGGCTATGTGTATATATTAACATATGATGTGTCTGTGGTTAACAAATTATGTGCTTTAAAATAAATTATAAGCACATAATATGTTAATTACATGCATATAATCTGTTAATAGCATGTCTGCTGTTTGCATACACATAAACGTACTCCGATATAAGGCAAAGAGACAAATTAAACTCAAAAATTGATAAATGAACTAAAAATAAGAACGAGAAAAAGTAATTTTTTTTTGAAAGTTACTGGCTCTATTACATTGTAGTATCTGTTCATATACTTTCTCAACCTACTGAAACACAAAGAACCAATAACGTCTCCACTGAGGCTCCAACCCGGGTACCATTGGACCACATAGTCCTAGTACGAGAAAAAGTAATAGAATCAAATAAATGAACAAAGTGTTGAATAAAATAATATAAACGCAAGTAAGGAGAAGAAGGAAATAGAGAATGAAGAGGAAAGACCAATCTTTTCATTCATCTCCACACCATGATATAAGCCTATAAGGTGTGTCCATTACAAAGGATATAAATATACATAATGAGCAATCAAAGCATCCATTATAAATGATGTCCACTAAATATGTTTATAACACTCCTCCTTGGATATTATTTGTCCACATCTTACTTCGATAAAGGAAATAGAGAATGGAGAGGGAATGCCGATCTTTTCATTCATCTCCACACCATGATATAAGGTGTGTCAATTACAAAGGATATAAATATACATAATGAGCAATCAAAGCATCCGTTACATCCGTTATAAATGATGTCCACTAAATATGTTTATAACACAAAGTACAACAAAAGCATATGTTAGCAAGAAAGAAATCAAGACAATTTGTATATGTATTCTTTGGTTTATTTGCTTTTACATATATTGTGGTCTCAAATTAATGACTATGAGTAAGTGGCGAAAAAGAGAGAGATTTTTAAAATATTATTATATTTGTATTTAAACATTATAAATTATAATTTTTTTTGTTAGGATAATAGTAACTATTTATTGTAAAAGATCGATTAATAAAATGAATTATATTCATGTTAAATTAATTCATAATAATAAAAAAAATCATGAGTTCAGTTTTTGTTAATATTTTCTCGATTAAATTCATCACATAAAGTATTCTTTATGAGATTTACATAATTTATATTGTATACATTATCATGTAATGGTTGCGATTTTCTTATATATTATCACATAAAAAGCATTAATTATTTAATTATAATAATTCCACTAAATTGTGATATGATAGTTATACATTGCTTTTAAATTAAATGAAATTATTTATCACATTTATGATTGGGAAAATGGCACTTTTTCCCCTGAGTTATATACTTATAGCACTTTTTTCCCCTGAATTATTTAAGTGGCTCTTTTTCCCCCTGAAATGTTAAATGGACATATTTACCCTTAAAATAAATATTTAAAAAAAATATTTCATTTATTTTTCTTCTCCAACAAATTATTACTATAATTTGGTTCAAACCAAACAGATACTTTAGCAACCAAACCAAAATATCCCAATTACAATTTATAATCAAAACGCGATATTTAGAGTTTATTAAAATAGCGAACTGGAATGGTCGGTTCATGTTCCGAACTGAAAAAATAAAATATATTTATTGTTGAATTTAGACTATTTTAAAATAAAAAATAAAATTTTAAAATAAAGACGGTTCAAAATCGCGAATCGGATCCGGAACCGCCGGTTCACGGTTCATGATCCAGTTTTTTTATTCTTAAATTTAATAAATTGAAATCCAAATATTGAGTTCTAGATCTGAATCATAACCGAAAACTTTTAATTCGATTGTTATAGTGTCTGGTTCAGTTCGTACCGAACCGTGGTAATCGCTACATATACGCAATAATTTGTTGGAGAAGTAAAATAAATAAAATGTTTACTTTAAGGGTAGAAATGTCAATTTAATATATTAGGGGGAAAAATCACCACTTTTAAAATAATTGAGGGGGCTAATGTGCTTACATAAATAATTGAGGGGGAAAAAGTGCTATGAATATATAACTTAGGGGGAAAAAGTGCCATTTTCCCTTTATGATTTATTCTTTTATTCATTTTTTTTCTTTTATTTTCCATAATTGATGAAATATTGATGGGGTGTTTGAAAAATAAATTATACTCCGTATAACATTATAACACAAATATTTAAAATTTAAAACCCAAATAACTTAAGTCGGTGGAGTGTGCCCCAAGTTTCCAACGTACACTTGTTGACTCCTGTATATAGATCTCCGCCCATCACCATTCATCCTCCTCCTCCTTCAGTGCAATCGCAGAT